AGAGGAAACTGGACAAGGATGCGCTTCCCGTCAGACCCCAGGTCGCCCACCTGTTTTGTTTCTGAAAGACCCTTGTCTCTTCCTCCGGGGAGGAAAGGCGGCATCTCAGTGAGCGCGGTCGGGGGACTGAGGCTCTGTGCGGGGGCTCTGGGGTGAGGCCCAGCCAACACCAGCCTGGTCGGAGCTCCCCCACCAGGCCCGGCTTTGAAAGTAACCAGATAGTTTCCTGCATGCACATTCTCCCCTATTCCGGAGTTCCTGTCCTGGTGGCTGTGGGGTGACCCGTAGCCCCAGTGCCCCCCAAACAGGGCTGGGATGGGTGTAGAAGCACAGCAGCTCGTGGCGTGGGCTTCAGCTTGCCTCACCTCTGTGTGCCTCTGTTTCCCCATCTGTAAAGCGGGCAGCTCTGCAGCGAAGGGGTGGTACCCGTGGGGGGGTGTGCCCCTCCTCCCACTGCTGATGGGGCTGACGGGGCATCCGAGCAGGTCCACCTTCAGGGCACTGACAATAGGGTTGGGAGGTGCTCTGCCCACGATCCTCTGTCCATGCTGCTGGCCTGCCCACTCCCTTGGGGCCCCTCTGGAGATGCCACAGGGCACTTCCATCAGAATTTCGGGGTCTAAGGAGTCCAACGGGAAGGCTCCCAGAAGCGCCCAGATTGGGGGTGAATCCAGGGGCCGCCTTTAGCTCCCATTCACCAGCCGGGTCTGCCGCACCCTGGGGACCTCCTGAAGGGGGGGTCAGTGCTCCTGACCTGAACGAGAATGGCGGTATCTCACTGCTTTGTAAGAATTAACATTTCCAAATCACTGTGGCACCGTGTTCTGATAAGGCCCAGTCTTCCGAGACGTGCATGGTATCGAGTCCATCTCAACCCTGGGGAACAGGTGGACGGATGTCCCGTTAGGCACGGGCTCCTGGTAGGTCTGCTCCTGAGAGTTTATCAGGGGGGCATTAGGGCAGGACGGTACTGGGCCCGAAGGGGAGAAGGGGCAGATTTCAGGGGCTCACTCACAGGGCCGGGCACTGGGCACCTCTCAGGCCTCCCCTGTCCCAGCCCCACCCGGCACCCTGTCCACACCGAGTGTGAAGATAATGGGGCTCTCCAGACCTGGGCAATCGGCACCACCTTTTCTGCTTTCTTCCGAAGCCCAGAGAATTAAGGGCAATGGGGTTGCTGGGCGGTCCACACCCGCCTCCCTGCTCTCAGCCTAGCTCGTCTTGGGGACCCGCCCTGTGGTTTGGTTGACATGCTGCCGCCAGGCCCATTTGTGCCCTTGTGAGCAAGAGGTCCCTGGTGTTTCTCAAGTTCACTGGGGACACCAGTTGTCAGCCTCAGAGGCTGGTTTTGTGGTTTTAAAGCCCCCCCCCGGGGGGGCAGCAGAAGAGAGTAATTAAACGTGTTCTCGTGGAAACCGCCAGAGCCGAAGGAACCGTCACTGCGCACACGGGTGCAGTAAAGAACGGGTGTTTTTCAAAGTAGGTGCTCTTTTAATAGAGATTGTAACTGAAATCACCGTAGATTCACAGACACTTGTAAGAACAAACACAGAGAAGGGCAGCCCTGCGGCCCCAGGTACGGCAGCTGATACCCTGACATGGACACGGGTTAGGGTCTGGACACAGTGCACCTCTCAGGTGCGGGCTTGTGCACTTAGCTTTACAACCCCGGGGGGGGGGCCCGTGCAGGCAGCCCCACAGCCTCGATGCAGGGCCGCGGGTGCCCCAGCCCCTAAGGTGCCTCCCTCACCTGGTCCTCCGCTAACCTCCTGCCTCCCTACGCCCCCCATGAGCACCCATCTATAACGGTCCCTGGGGTCACCCTCAATATGCAGTCCTCTCTTCAGGAGTTCTCGTTCATCTTCTTTCACCTCGATCCCGCAGTTTCCAGGAGCGAACTCATAGAAGTGGCCGGAAGCAGCCGGCACCTGGTGCCCACTCGGTGTGCCTCCCTGTGTCCCAGGAGCGGGCGTGCCTGGCGGGGTGGGCCTCCAGAGCTGGGCCAGTGGCTCTCTGGGCACGAGGGACAGGGTCTTGAGGCCCCAGGGCCCGGCGTCCAGCAGTGGTGTGAGCGCACAGCCCCATGGGCTGAGGCAGGCCACATCAGGCATCCAGAGGCAGAAAGCCCTGGGACAAAGAAGGGGTGTTCTGGAGGGCAGTGAGCCCAAGGAGAGCGGTCCAGGGCCCTGGACAGGGCGCACAGGCAGGGCTTTCTATTGTCCCTCGCCGGGCAGATGGGCAGTATCACTATTCCCAAAGTGACAGTGAAGTCGCAGGCTGGCATCAGGATGCCCCTGTGAGGTTCTTTTGGGACCACGGTGGGGGCAGCCCAGGGCCCAGAGCACTGTCCCTCTGCCTTGTGGGAGGAAGGGCAAGGCGGCCTCAGTTCCTGGGCTCTGGAGCTGCACACGGAGGCTCTCGCTTCTCAGGGGTGTCCATGCAGAGGGCGGCTGAGCCCTCCCACCCAGAGGTGCCTCCCTGGCGCAGCCTGCACATGCACACTCACCCCCCAGGCCTCGGCCCCGCCGAACCCCGCATGGCGCAGCGCCCCTGCCAGAGGCACCAGCAGGTTTCCGGCTCCTCGCGGCACGCAGGGGAGGCGGGACCGGAGCAAACCACGCATGGATCCAGAGGAATTCCCTCCCGCCCCCAGCCAAGGGCAGGGCTGCAGTCCGCCCACTCCTCCGTGTAAAAGCAGGAGGAGCTGCAGGTTCAGGGGCCGGTGGTCTTCAACCTGCTGATCACGGTCCTCCAGGTGCTGCTTCTGCCACCAAGGCAGGGGACAGCCTGGGAAGGACTGGCAGGCTGGGCGCGGTCCTGACTGGGGGCCGTCTCTCTCGTCTCTCTCCAGACCTCGACATCCTGGCTTCTGGTTTGATGTTTAGATGGGTGGGGGCTTCCGATCAGAGGTAATTTGCTACCATTAGGGCAGGGGGGGCACAAGGCTCCCACTGTGGGGCTGGAAGAGACGGAGCCCTAAACTCAGGGTTTGGGGTGGGACCCAGGGCAGGTTGGGACCGAGGCCATGGTGACTCCCAGCCGGTGTGGACCAGACCCAGGGAGCAGCTAGGTGGCTCCCAGCCGGTGTGGACCAGACCCAGGGAGCAGCTAGGTTTCTTCACTTCTCTGACCCATTTTCTGAGACCGAGTGTCCGTTTTTCATACATCGAGCAGCATGTGACAGGCCTCCAAACGGGGTTTCAGCATGAAGTTCCCAAGAGCTCAGTGACCCAGTGGGGCCGCTGACCTGCAGCAGGTGCCCCGTGGCCATGGCTCAGGACGGCTCCACTGGCTCACCAGCTCCAGGCTCCCTCTCCTCTCCTCCCTGCTTTTATGAATTTTTAGTAAGTCTCCCAAAAGAATTTTTAGGAACGATGGACTCAGTCATGAACCCTTAGCCTGAAATTACCGCAAAACCCAAATAAAGGACCTCAGCTCTCCCGACAAGTAAACAACACACGATTGCACAGCCTATATTTCCAAAGTCATAAAAAGCTCCTGTTCTTGGCTCTGCATCCTGACTTTCGAGAGAGTGCCGGCTGGAATGTGCCGGCAGTCCTGGGGGCCTGGGGAAAATGATTCCCACTCCCTGTACATGCCCGCCTCGCCCAGGGCAAGAGGGGCTCCTGGGGAGCTGGGCGAGTTGTGCGGGTCTGCCCGGAAGGCTCCGGCGGCCCTGAGAAGCTTGCGGCTTTCTCCAGGGCCTCGGGCTGTTTGCAGCACCTCATTTTCTCCAAATGTCTCCCACACACTGATGAGGTCTCCTCACCCCACCAGTGAAAGAAGAGCTCCCCCCCGCAACAGCGGGGGCCGCGGAATGGAGACCCGGCTTCTCCTGGTGGCTTCAGGCAATCACTTAACCCCTGTGCCTGCCGGGGGTGGGAGGCCGGCCGTGCACTGCCTGCCTTTAATCAGCAGGAAACACCACCTTTCTCTCCTAAACTGTTTGCTCGGCCAGTAAATTAAACATGCCCTTAAAGCCTTGGTTTTCCTCCAGTAGGTGAGGAGTTTTGGGAAGTAGAATTCAAACAGGAAAAAAAAAAGGCCCCCAAAGAGCCCTGAGATGAATATGCACAGGATGGGGACCCCTCCCCCCTTTCTGCACTAGCAGATCCTAATTGTCCTGGAAGGCAAAGGCATCGCACCCGAGGCACATGGGGAGGGGGGCTCCCAACCTGATTCTGTGTGTGAGCCTCGTGCACTTACCAGTTCCAGATAATGAGGCGGCATGTTAATTACCCCCCTTCCAATTTACCTTTATGCTGTGCACGGTCGCCGGGAAGGTTTATGGGGGTGTTCTTTCAAACCTAACGACTTGGATCTTTCTGGCCAAGAGAACCATAGCTGCCCTTCTGTTGTCGCATTTTTGAAAGGAGCCTACGAGTCAATTAGAAGGGAACCGTTGGCCACGTAAAACATAATAATTACTTCTCTGAATGCTGCTAAATTAAATAAGTGTTATCCCCATGATTTTTTTTTTTTTCAAGACTTTGGTTTCTTTTGAAAGAAAACATTTTGTTACTTCTCAGTGGATCTATTTGCACTGGCGTGAGGACTCTGAAGTGATTTCTCCTGTGCTTGAGCGTCCCTGGGCCCCACGCCGGGGGTGGGGGGAGGACAGGGAGGGGCCCGGGGGCAGGGTCTCTGTCCCCGGGTTTCAGGCCAGTGCATAAGGGACTTGGGCAGAAAGGTCCGGGTCGGAGGTTGGCGGGCGCCCGTCGCTGACCTCCCCGTTTCCGTGCGGCACGATCCACAGTTGTGTAACGTACAAGTTCAGCTTTCGAACGGGACAGCTCATTTGGCACCTTCACGCAGGTGTGCGACCAACACCTCCCTCTCTATCCGGAACATGTCCTTCCCTAGAGGAGACCCCGTGCCTGATACTCAGTCACTCCCAGGGCCCCTCCCTCCCAGCCCCCAGCAACCACAGCATGAGTTCCGTCTCTTGGCCTTGCTTTTCTGGACACTTCCGGTGCACCAAGCGTGCCACGTGGGCCTCCATGCTGGCGCCCTTCACCGAGCGTCCAGGTGCTTCCGCGCTACAGCGAGGTGAGGTGGTGTCCACGCTGAGTAACAGTCCGCTGTGTGGACAGGCACATCTGTTTATCTGTCCATCTGTGGATGGACAAGGGGTCGTCATGCCCTTGGGGACTCCCAGCTGTCTGGGTCCCCGCTTCCCGTTCCTCTGGGCAGAGCTGCTTTCCTGGCTAACCAGCTACTCCTTGCTCCCCCATTCTTCCCTCAGCCCACATCTCTCGGCCCCCCCTGTGCCTCAGGCCTGGTGCACATCCAGGCAGCCATATCTTGGCACCAACCGTCTCCTAGGATGGACCCCAAAGAGAGGCCCACACCAGACCTCAGACCCAGTGACCTGCATCCCCATGACCCCCACATTTGTGAGCTCCGCAAACCTCTGTCTTAACTGGCCCTTAGGTCATCAGGAGCTCAGGAACCTGTCCCTCTGGCCCCCACCAAGACGCCCAGGGCTGCCCAGGTGTTGGAACAGATCTCATACTAATCCGAATTCTGAGTCCTTGCAAGAATCTGAGACATGTCCCTGACCCCTAATTTCCAACACCAGACACAAACCGGAATGGTTCTGGAGAGACTATTTCATTACCGGCCCTGGGTAGGGTGCCCTCTCCGACGGCTCTCCCCACTATTCCCAAACTCATGGAGCGTGGGCACCTCCTCTCCTTGCTTTCCTAAAGCAGAAGGGGCCGATGGGTCCTCGGGGGGCCACGTGGGGCCTCGCGGAGCCACACAACCCTGTGGGGGTTCTGAACCCCGCTTCCCCACGTCCCTGGAGCGTGGGGCAAAGGGCATGTCTTCTGGGCGGAGGGCGGCAGTCGGCGCCCTTGGTCCCCATCCTGCCCCGTGTCCCAGGCGGTCCCCACGTGTCACGCACGGGGGAGGGCGAGCCACAGAAGCTTGACGCTGCCTTGTCTCCTTCAGGTGACGGCGACATTGTAAATAACATGCATGAGCCCGACCCGGAGCTGCTGGCCGGCGAGAGTGCAGAGTACGAGACAGAAGACAGCGTTGTGTCCCCCATCCCCATGGGGCCGCCATCCCCCTTCCCCACCAGCGAGGACTTCACCCCCAAGGAGGGCTCGCCGTACGAAGCCCCCGTCTACATTCCTGAGGACATTCCCATCCCACCAGACTTTGAGCTCCGAGAGTCCTCCATCCCAGGCGCAGGCCTGGGGATCTGGGCCAAGAAGAGGATGGAGATCGGGGCGAGGTTTGGCCCTTACATGGGGGCACCCCGGGCCACGTGGAAGGAGGCAGACTTTGGATGGGAGGTGAGCATTCCCGTGTGAGCGTGATTGATCACGGCCATTTATCTTGTGTTCAATCTATTTATAAAGCCGGGCTGAGCAGCGCTGCCCGAGGCGGGAGGCTCGGTCAGAGAAAGCGCTCGAATGTCACATTTCCCAGGCTTATTTGGTCCTGCAGCTTGCATGACGCGACTCAGCAAACATCAGCGGTCCTTGTGGGCGCCTGTCAGCCCCCATAGGCTAGGCCTGCTCTCTTCCCGGAAATGTGTCTTTAATGAGCTCATGTCTTAAAACGCCCGTGCTCCCCGTCTGGGTCTTAGGTGCTAAGGCTGCGGTCTCTACAGAACCGTGCAGATTAATGGAATGTCCCAGAACAGGAGTCTCTACTCTGGGGAACGCTCCTGCAGATGGGGGCCTACCTCCTGTAATGGGGGTGGGGCATCTCGTAAAACATGCCTGGTGACCTTGCTGCCCCCAGACACCCCCTGCACGTGCGTGTCAGAGCTCCGCGCCCACCGTGCCCTGGCCAGCCGGCTCTCTAAGAGGAAGCCCCACTTCTCAGATAGCGGGGGAACAAGTCTCATCCTGCCAGGGAGGGGCATCCTGCAGCTTAGATTTCCCTAACAATCTGGGCCTGGCTGATGGTTCTGGAGCCCCTCTCTGCGGTCAGGAGAGGGGAGGCCCACTAGGTGAGGTGCGCCACTGTCTCCAGAGCACCCGTCAAGGGTTTGGGGGTCTTGCGAGGTGGTCTTCATGGGGACCACAAGCCCCATGGAAGTGTTCTCCCTGCTGCCCTGGCTGTTCTTCCAGCCTCATACAGCCAATGCTTGGTGGTATTTTTGGCAAAGACCCTGCCTGGGCAGAAAATGCAGATGCAAACCCAGATTCCTTCTGGGTGTTTCACAACTTCCAAAAGTGCTTGCTGGAGGTCAGCTCTAGGAAGGGGCAAAGTGTCCAAGGAGGGAAGAGGGCCCTGTGTGGCGAGGGGATGTGGCCCGTGGCGGCGTGTGGGGTGTGGACGCCGGGGACATGGGGCACCAGCTGAAAGCCCAGGGCTTTGAGGGTTTAGGCGAGAGGTGGGTCGACCAGATGGATGAAGGGACGGGAAGGCCAGAACCCCTGTGGTGGGAGCCAGTGTGTCCCCTGCTGTCTGGAGGTGGCCGACAGGTGTGTGCCGCTCACAGTCGGGGTCACCTTCAGAGCAGACCAGCCGGGGGCCTGGGAGCAGGGTGCGGTGGGTTGCAAAGGAGTTTGAAATCCCCGTGGCTCTGTGGGCACGTGGCTCTTTCGTGGCTTATGGGGTCGCCCCTCAGGGGACCAAGGAGAACCTTTTGCAGACTCGGCGTGTCCTGTCCCCCCACCCGGCTGTTCGAGAGAGGGGTTTAAGGGTGTTTGTCGACACGCCCAGAGAGATGTACACTGTGTAATTAGCAGGCGGCCTGCAGAGGGCAGAGGGTACGCGAACTCCACAGGTAGCGCTTTGGATGACCTTGAGGCAACTTTGTGCTTGTCTGCCCTGATAAAAGTTTCTATTTGCTCTTTTTCTCAAGAAATGGTCCGTATCGCTTCGGCTCGCTCGGTGCCAGGGCTGGTACCGGCTGTCACTAGGATCTGCCCGGGGCCTGTTGACTTTGCACATTGTTTATTCTCTGCGTACGTGAGGGAACGTTCTCCTCCACGGCGCGCCTCCCGTGTCTGCAGTGGCCTTTGTTCCGTGGTCGTGACCTCACAGCTGCCTTTCATGCCAGCACTTAGGAATATTTGCCCACAACCCAACGTCCTCAGTGTTCCAGACGCACCCTGACATTATCTCGGCTGACCTTGCTTTCCTCGTGAGCTCGGGCGCTGGGGACCTGCCTCTGTGATCCGCCTTTGGGCTTTGTGGCCTTCCGTCACACGGGGTCTGAGCCGGTGTGGTGCTGTCCTTGCGACCGAGGACCGATGGCCGAATTGGGCGGGAAGCCTCCGCCTCCCCCGATGCAGGAGAGAGGGGAGGAGGTGGGCACCCCAAAAACTCAGGGCAGACCCACTTTTGCCTGAAATAAATAAGGTCCAGGCGTTTTTTTTCTGGCTCCCCGTACCTCAGTTTGGGCCTTTGGGGCAGGAAAACCGACCATCGTCCTTTGTAAGTGAGCGCCTTGCTGGATTTCCCACGTGTCCCTGCAGACAGATGATTGCGGTTTCCTGTTGTTTTGTGCCTTCCTCTGGCAGGACCGGTGGCTCGGCTGCCCCTTCACAGTTAGGCCCTGTCCTTGCCTTTGCAAACAGGGCCCGAGCCTGGGGGTGGGGGGATCCCGGGTCTTTCTGTGATTCTCGACAGGAGAGGGGCCTCCGGGGAGCCCCTGAGTCATGAATGCTAATAAGGCACTTGAACCGCGGCAGACCCCAGGGCCGCGGTTCTGCGAAGATGCCCTCTGTGGGTTGGCAGTGCACTCGCAAGTCACTGGGATGCAGAGATCGTCAGCGCTGGAGGGTCGTGTCCGCAGGGGACGCCGGCCAGACCCGGGATGGTCAGAGGCAGGGCCCAGGGACAGCGCAGGGGTGCGTATCATCTTGGGATAGGCCGAGTTTCGGATGTGTAATTGCTCACGCTTACACTGGTAATTAAGTATTATAAATCAGGGCAATTTGATTTCACTGCAATTGACCTACTGTTCCTTTCCTGAGGAAGAAGCAGTGATGACATGTTAGCAAAGATGACAAAGGAGATCCACGGAGGATCCGGGACGGTCTGCACACCGAGGGCAGATGGCAGCAGGTCTGTGGCCAGTCCGTGCTCGGGAGCCTGGCTTCTCCTGGAGGGCTGGGTCTGGGGGCCCAGCACACGAGGGAGAAGCCAGACACTGGTGTAAAATCAAGGTCAAATAGGTTACTCTTACTGTCATTTGGGGACACCATGGAAACCATTCTCTTTCTACCGTGAGAGCAAAATTCTTGTTCTGGACCATTCCAGAAAATGGTCCTTTTTTTTTTTCTCTTTTTGTAGTGTAGTTTGCTCATTATGCATCCTTCCTGCTGTCCCCACGCGGCTCCTCCCTCCCACATGTGCATCAGACGGTCAGTGACTCTGAACCTCCTTCTCCTCGCTGCTTTGGGGCATACCAGGAAGAGATTCCCATGTCAGGCGGGTCCCTGACACCCCCGGATCTGGCCAGCCCGGTGGCCAGATAGAGGGTGGGCTGTGTGGATACGGCCCCCCAGGATCCATCTCAGAGGGTGGCGGTTTGTCCCCCTGCCTGGGAAGATACCCAAACTCCCAGCCCCCTCTGCCCAGACTCAGCCCGCCGGCTGACGCAGCCACCACTCACTCTGCCCAGAATAAATCACCCCGTGATTGCATTTGATTGCCCTGGGGTCTGAAAAAACAATGATTTTGATCATTTGTTGAGTAAATCATGACATTTATCATCGTGCTGCTTATTTTGCTAATTAAGAGCTGGCTGCGAGGGACAGCCCAGATAGCGGGCTCCTCGGAGGTGCCACCTGCCCCGGATTCCGGGCTTGCAGCGGGTGGGGAGCATCGTGCGGGACCCCGGAGGGAGGCGGCAGGAGCAGGTTTCACCCTGACAGCGCCCACGCTCGGCTTGCTTCCTCCTTGAGCCTTGCGTCTCCGCCAGAGAGCCCGCTGAGGGCAGGTTCTCCGACACCCAGTGCATCCCCCGGCCTGTAACGGGCGCTCCAACATCAGCTGTTGAATGAATGTGTCTGCCTCTGTTTGAGAAGCTGGTAGAAAATGTTAACGTGAACTGAGGGGGTTTCATTTATCTGCAGAATTCACTCAAGTGGATTACCTCATCCCTTGGCTTTAGTTTCTGCATAGTAATATGCGTGTTCATTTGTTCAATCAACAAACAGGCTGTGTCTGGGCCGGGCCTTATGGGAAGCTCTGGGGTCACAGGGGATAGCAGCTCCAAGACCTCAGGCTGCCGGGACTGCCGCTGTCCCATCACACAGCTCCCAAGCCCCTCCTCCAAGCTCCCCAGGGCCCTGCTGCAAGGCTTTGCTGAGGGCCAGGACCCCCCCCCCACCTCCTGCGGACCACACACTCCCAGGACATCCAGAGTCGCCAGGCTAGGCGAAGGCTCCCACCCAGCCCTGCACTCTCGGATGCTGAGAAATTTCTGTAAATTTAAGAGTATGTTACGATCCAGAACACACCCCTGGAGAAAGGCCTGGGGTTCAGAGGAAGCTATGTCTCTATGTGTCCAGGCTTGCCCACCTGCATGTATTTTAGAAAAGCAATGCTTTCTTTTCCGAGGTAGCCACTGAGCATCCTTAGCATGAGAGGAAGTTTGGAGGCCTAATTTTGGTCCAGAGTATAGGCTGTCCACTGTGATGGCCACCCAGCCTCTCACATCGCCAAAGGGCTTTCTGAGGCGCTGGGACACACACCCAAGAGCAGAGAACTAGCTTCTCCAGCTACCGGGAAGCCTTCCCCGGCCCCCAGGTTGGAGGCCAGGAGTCCTCGGGTCGGTGGCCTTGCACCTTGGCTTCTCACTGGCCTAGCTGGGCGTGGCCGGGGAGTCACACAGACACCTCAGGGCTGCAACCACGTGGCCCCCGACCTGAGGCCTCCATCTCCTCCTCAGATCCAGGGTCTCTGCGGGAACCTCTTTTCCTTCTGCTCTGGCATTCACCTTCACCTCAAAACACCTTCGCCTCGTTCCTCCACATCTAGCTGTTAACCAGACCTGCCCCCGCATGTGTGAGTGTGCACATGCACACACATGCACACATGCTCCCGCATGTGTGTGCATGCACGCAGATGCACATATGCACACAGACGCATATACACACGCACACGCGTGCACACGCACACACGTGCACACATGCACACACATGCGCCCCACACGTGCACACATGCATATGCACACGCACACGCACACATGCGTGCACACGCACCTTTGGATTTTGCTGAAAATCCTAGACTGGGTTCCCGGCCTCCAAGGGCAGGAGGTACCTGTCCACCCTGCCTGGAGTTGGCAGCTCTGGCAAGCAGAGGGTCTCCAAAAACTGCCACCCTG